GGGAGGAGAGAGAAAAGACGACGAAGGAATAGAGAGAGAGAGAGAGAGAGAGAGGATATAGCTAGGGAGAATAAATAGAAAGATGTTATGTGATATAAAAAGGACAGGAAAGAAGTCTCTCTCTATCTATCTATCTATCTATCTTTCTATCTCTATTTGTCTCTCTCTATATTTTCTTTTCTTTCTTTCTTTCTTTTCTTGTTTTCTTTTTTTTCTATTTTTTTTCTTCTTCTTTTTCTCCCTCTCCCTCTCCCTCCACCCCCCCTCCCCGACCTCTCTCTCTCTGAAGAAAAGAAAAGAAACGAAAAAACAGACAAACAATCAAACAGACACAAAAGCAAACAACTAAACCCGGAGTCCGCCCAGAGAGGTGAACACTTCTGACCAAAAAGTTTCGTACCGATTCCAGAGGTTTTCGTCAGGGGGGGGGGAGGCGTCGGGGGAGATGAAGGAGGCAAGGTGGGACGGGCGAGGAATACGGGCGAATTGTGGTCGGAAAGGAGTCAGGAATAAAGAGGAAAAATCGTGAAATATGAGTAAAGTTAGGAGTAAGTGACGGAGGAGGGGGGAGGGGGGAGGGGGTGTGAGAGATTATTGAATAGAATACGATGATTTTTTTTTGATTTTTTTATCCTGATTCCTGTTTGTTTGTTTGTTTGTTTTTCTTTATAAGAAGTAGAAAAAAATGTATATTCTATTATTTTTTTTTTGCAATCAGAAAAAAAATCAAAGAAGTTCAGAAATGATATAAAGAATTCATTATCACCCATTACGTAACGTGCTCTAGTATGTATCATATAGCATTAAATCTTTTCATCAACCAACCCTTTAATTTAACTAAAACATCAGTCACTGAACGTTTAAACACTACAACGCCTAATCTTTTACAACGAACCTTTTATAAACAACTAACAGCGTATTTTGAATATTTTATCGCCTGGTGAGCGTGCTGTGTGTTCAAAAGGGTGAGAAAAATCGCTGGTATACACACGCCCACTCCTTCAACATGGCCAAGTGGGCGGGTGAGAACCACTGTGATTCAGCCAACACCCTTTCAGGTGCGCTGTTCCGAACACATACTCGCCTCTGGAGCTGCCTCTGAACGTGCCTCTGAAGTGACCTCTGAGACTGAACTTGTCTCTGAACTTGTCTCTGAACTTGTCTCTGAACTTGCCTCTAAAATTGCCTAAGAACTCTGAAGTTGTCTCTGTAGTTGCCTCTGAAAATTGCGTTTCAGAATTCGGGGATGTGTGCGTGTAATGATGTAGGTTGTAAGTGTGTGTCATGGGGTTGGGGAGATCTCTCAGGTGTCTGGGGAGAGAGAGAGAGAGAGAGAGAGAGAGAGAGAGAGAGAGAGAGATTAGGGTAAGGAGAGAGGGATGGAGCGAGAGAGAGAGAGGTTGAGGGAGGGGGAGAGAGTGACAGAGAGGGAGACAGAAGACAGACACAAACAAGCACACAGACCAGGACAGACAGCGAGACACGCGAGGGATGGCTCCTCCCGGCCTCCTCCAGCGCCGCCAGAGAGCCTGTCCTTGATCACGTCTCGAGGACGAGGTCACGAGGGCGCTCTATGGACCGCCTTGGGAGCCTCAGTCACCGGAAAGTGGGCGGGGGAAGTGGGCGGGGAGAGGGACAGGGAAGTGGGCAGGGAAAGGGGCGGAGGAAGGGGCAGGTGAAGGGGCAGGGGAAGTGAGTGGGGGAAATGTGTGTTTTTGTGGATGTATGTATACGCGTAATACAGAAAAATAAATACATGTATGTACATAGAAACACACATAAACGTAGATGTGTGTATGAATGTGTACCCGCGCACGTGTGTGTGCGTGTTTTTGTGGATGCATGTGTGCATGTAATAAAGAAAAATAAATGCATGTACGCACGTAGAAACACACATGAACGTAGATGTGTGTATGCATATGTACCCGCGCGTGTGTGTGTGTGAGTGTGTGTACGTGTTTTTGTGGATGTACGTGTGCATGTGCGTGGAGTCTGGAGATATCGCTGTAACATTATTCATGTGATTTTAGAAGCTGAAATCTGCTCCATTTTTCAGCCCTTTACCGCGTCCTTTTCCCGGCCAGCTCAGCGCCAAAATTTATGTTGTGTTTTTCTGGTTTATTTAACTGTATACTTATCGTTTATTTGTCTTGCGTTTATTTGTCTTTCTTTACCGATTCTTTTATATGACTGTATGTAACGTGATGTGTGTGTGTGTATTTGTGTGTGTCTTTGTATGTATGTACGTGTATGTGTGTACGTGTACATGTGTGTGTGTACGTGTATGTGTGTACGTGTGTGTACGTGTGTGTGTGCAGGATATCGGTATAACCAATAGCTTCTAAACATAACAGAATTTACATAATTTTCGATACGCAGCAAGTGGAACTGAGTGGAAAGAGAGAGAGAAAAACGCACACATAAATTAATATATAAGAAAGAAAAAAAAAAACAAGAAAAAACGACAAGAACTCCACCAGAAAGAAAATAAAAAGAAAGAAAAAAAACAGAAAACCAAAAAAACATCAATAAGAACAACAACAAGAATACTCAAAGTCCACCGAAGAGACGTAGAAAAAAAAGAGAGAGAGAGACAGAAAAAAAAGAGAAAAAGAAAAATACTACTTAAAAAAAACACCCCCCAAGAAAACAAATAAAACCAAAGAGCCAATTCACCGAAGAGGACCCCCACCCACCCCCACACGCAGAAGGACACCCCCACCCTCCCATCATGAGTCGAGGCGCCCCCCCTTGCCGTCAGGAGTCTCTCCCGGCGCATCACTCCACGCTGCAGAGCCTTCAGGAGACCGCGCTGCCGATATCCGCCCCGTCGACGCCCAGGAGGAGGAGGAAGAGGGGTCAGTATGGGAGGGGGAGAGGGGGGAGGGGGAGGAGGGGAGAGGGAGTGGAAGGGGAGGAGAAGAGGGGTCAGTATGGGAGGGGGGGAGGGGAGGAGGAGGAGGAGGGGTCAGTATGGGAGGGGGAGAGGGGGTGGGGGAGGAAGAGGAGGAGGAGAAAGGGGGAAGGAGGAGGAGGAGGAGGAGAAAGGAGGAAGGAGAAGGAGGAGGAGGAGAGAGGAGAAAGGGGGAAGGAGGAGGAGGAGAAGAAAGGGGGAAGGAGGAAGAGGAAGAGGGGTCAATATGGGTGGGGGGGAGAGAGGGGAAGGAAGAGAAGAAAGAAGAGGGGTGAGTGTGGGCAGCGGAGAAAAGAGGGAGGTGGGGGAGAGGGATGAAAAGGGAGGAGGAAGAGGACGAGAAAAAAAGTAGAAGGAGGATGGTAAGAAGGGAGGGAAAGGAGGAGGAGGAGGAAGGTCAGTATGGAGGGGGGGAAGAGGGAGGTGAGAGAGAAGGATGATAAAAAAAGGAGAAGGAAGAGGAAAATGAGGAGAAGAAGAAGAAGGAGGAAAGTAAGAAGAAGAAGGAGGAGGAGGAGAAGAAGGAGGAAAAGGAGGAGAAGGAGAAGGACAAAGAAGAAAAGAGGGAGGGAAAGAGGTCAGCATAGGCAGTTGAAGGAGGAAGAGGAGAAGGAAAAGGAGTCAGGTAAGGAAAGAAGATAGGTAGATAAATAGGAGAAAAAAAAAACACAGATTAGGAAAAGCGAAGAAACGAGGATGAGGAGTGAGAAGGAGGCAGGCACGTGACCCAAGAAAGACACACAGCATGATTTTATTTTGTAGTTATTTATTCATTTTATTTTTCATTTTATTTTTTATTTGTTTATTTTATTTATTTATTTATTTATTTATTCTTTTTTTTTTTGTTATATATATACACTTTTTTAAGACGTGAAAAAATGTATTTCTTCATCGTGATATTTTTTTAATTGTTTCATTCTTTCTTATTTACCGATATTCTTTAAATGTTTCTTTTCGATTACTAATTATCATTTGCGTTCCTTTTTCTTCTTTTCTTTTGTCTTCTTATTTTCCTTTTATTTCTCTCCTTTTCTTCTCTTATTTTTCTTCATGTTCAAATGTTCTTATATATTTTAATTTCTTCTTCGTTTTTTTCTTTTCTTTTCATCCTCTTTGTCTTATTTTCTTTGTTTTCATTTTCACTTTCATTTATTGAACTAATATCACAATTATATTTTAATATTATTATTACTATCATCATTATTATTATTACTATTATTGTTATTGTTACTACTATTGTTATCATAATTATCATTACCATTAATACTATCATTATTATGATTGCTATTATCATAATCTCTCTCCATCTC